TAACACATCAACAACATCAAATGGGTGGTGGCACACACCAAATCGCACACACCAAATTGTGCAATTGGGTATCATGGTAAATCAAAAATTCATTTTATTGACGGTAAATGAAGGCTAAGGATTATCTTTTAATTGTTCAAGAGTTTTAAAGACGTCAAGCATCTGTAATAAGTAGTGAAAATTTTGTTCTTCAGCAAGATAATGCTAACGTTCATACCGCTAAGATAGTAAAGGAATATTTCAACAGCAGTAAAATTGAAACATTGAAGTGGCCAGCTAGATCTTTAGACCTGAACATTTTTGAGAATGCCTGGTCACAGCTGTCACATATAGTGTTTAAAGGTGGTAAACAATATATTTCACTAGCTGACTTGAAATCATCCATAGCATCTGCATGGTATGCAATTGACATGAGGATCAAGAAACATCATTCAATTTTAAAATGTCAATTTCCGACAACGATTTCAGGAAGTAACATCTAAAAATTGTCGATTTAATCCTTCTTACTCATTTTAATCCAAAAACAATAATAACCAATACTTATTACCGTATCAATCAAACAACATCGCGTTAGTTTCTATATCCAAAAAAATTTTAAAGTAAATTTTTAAAATAAATTTGCGCACTAGCAAAAAAAAAGCAAAAAAAAAAACTTAGTTCTTAAATAATTTAGAATATGATTTTTGCATACAAAATAAACAAAGTTAATTACGTGATACAAAAAAGGAGTTCTAGTTAAAAACAAATTTTTTGATAAATGGGGGAACTTAAATTTAACTGGACACTTAAATTTAATTTTTTTATAGTTTTGGTAAATTTTAAATTACTTTACTGTTAATTTAGATTTATAATCAGAGTAAATTTTAAACTCTAATTAGAGTAAAAATTAGGCCATTTTTAGAACTTTATATATATGTATATATAATTACAAAAATTGCATAAACTTGATGTGCAAAACAATTATTACTGTTATTTTTTTAACTATATTAATTTTTTTAAATATCAAAACACAATAAAAACAACTGCAAGGTGAATCTCAATCTTTTTATCGAAAAACTTGACTAATTATAGAGAATTTATCAAAAAAAAAAAAATTGAGTCAGTGAGTTTAGTGTTTACATACTTCAAAAGCGCCGTCGGACTTTAGTGAAACTGTTTACGACCACTGATCTCAAAATAATATTATTTTGAGATCAGTGGTTTACGACTTTCTACCGTATTATAAACAAAGGATTTCACGCTTGGTTTAAGAAATATTAATAGAGTTTAGTAATACTTCCTCGTTATTTTATATCAACTGAATTACACGATCGCATTGACTGAAATCATTTTTTACTTATCTACTATCTTTTCTCGAATAACTTTTTTAAAAGACCACCTCTGAAATATAATATTAACACAAAAAATGTTTTATGATTATAACAAACTGGTATTAAAAGTTTATTAAACGAGGAAAATAGATTTCTTTACATTACTGCTTGCTTTTAATTAAAACGTAAATTAAATACGTTGATTAAAACATAAATTAAATACGTTTATTAATAAGAATGTTTTTTTTTATTACAACAAGCTCGTACAAGAAATTTAAAAATCACTCTCTGAGTAACTGCTTGCTTGAATTTAAAACGTAAAACCAAATTTAAATGTTTGAATGAACCGTAGTCATAAAAACATTTTATGACTAAGAATAAAAATATAGATAATGATATTCTTCAATGCCGCGATTGCGTTCAATCGCTTGCGATTAATATTTTTTTGTAGTCAAACGACATTTGTTGTTGTTTTTGCTCAGACTTCCCAGTGGGAAAAAAGATATTTTTAGATGAATAAAATACGTCTTTTTTTATGACTTATTATGTCTTTTTAGAATTAGCCTAAATAAAGACGTGGATAAGACGTCTTTAAAAAAGAGATCGAAAAGACGTCAATCGGTTGTACGTCTTTAATAAGACGTCTTTTATATCGACGATCTTTAATAAAAAAGAAATCTTTGTTATACAAAAAAATTTTATAAAACTTTTTTTATATGGAACCTTTTTGCATAGGAAATTTAATTAGAAATAGATGACAATTACTATTTTTGGTAAGCGGGTTTATTTTACAATTTATGTAATAAAGTAATATATTTTATAACTCATACATAGTATATATGTTTACATTTATTATAATATATACATACATAGATATAAATATATATATATATATATATATATAGATATAAATATATATATATATATATATATACATATATATATATATATATATATATATATATATATATATATATATATATATATATATATATATATATATATATATATATATATATATATATATATATATATATATATATATATATATATATATATATATATATATATATATATATATATATATATATATATATATACAGAGGGTTACAAAAGTGTTCGTACAGTGAAATATTTTATACTTATCATCATATTTAAAACACTTAAACGTATTTATTAGTAAAAATTCTTGTTGAAATCGCTTAAACTATCTTTATTTAGTATATAACATAAGAAATAATACTTAAGTTAGAAAAAATTATGTCAAAAAATTATTAAAGATGAAAAATCAGTTTTTTGATATTATCTTTATCTGTTGTTTATGTTTACATTAGCTTTAAATTTTCTATGTTTTTGTTTTTAGCGTAAATAAAATTGTCAAATAGGATATTTTGTGCAATAAAAAATTGGTAATTTTGAAAATGAAGCCTACAAGAAACGAGTTGCCAGAAGTAATGAAAAATCTTATTATTTCTCACCATCAAAATGGGAAATCACTGTCACAGATAAGAGAAATGCTTTGTATTCCAAAATCTACGGTTCAGTCTATTATAAAAAAGTTTTCTACTGAGGGTTCTGTTCAAAATAAACCAAGAACTGGCCGCCCAAAAATCCTTTCGGAACGAACTGCGAATTGGTTGGTATGAAAAATCAAGATGCAGCCTAAGCTGAGCGCTCCTAAATTGACTAAGGATTTAGAACTTGATCTAGGACAATCTGTAAGTGTGCAAACAGTGAGACAATGCTTAAAAAAATAAAATTTTCATAGAAGAGTAGCGAGAAAAAAACCCTTCATTTCTAAGAAGAATAGAAAAGCACGTTTAGAATTTGCTAAAAAGTATGTTTCGATGCCTAAAAAGTTCTGGGAGACTGTAATTTTTGCTGATGAGAGTAAATTTAATTTGTTTGGATCAGATGGACGTGTCAATGTTTGGAGAAAACCTAATACAGAATTAGAAGAGCGAAATATGGTAGCAACAGTCAAACATGGTGGGGCGGTGTGATGGTTTGGGGCTGTATGGCAGCGTCTGGGGTTGGTAAATTACATTTTATAGAGACTACCATGAACGCTCGTGTTTATATTGATGTCCTAAAACAAAACTTAAACCAAAGTGCTGAAAAATTGGGGCTGACTGGTGTATATAAGTATACTACCAGGACAATGATCCAAAGCATTCTGCTTTTGATACACGGCTCTGGATGCTCTACAACTGTCCTGGAGTAATAAAAACACCAGCTCAAAGTCCAGATCTCAACCCAATTGAACATTTATGGTCAGAATTGGAAATCAAACTGCGTAAAGATCAGTTCACTAACAAACCACAGATGAAAGTTGCTTTAGAGAGTGCTTGGAATTATTTAAGTCAAGAAATCACAAAAAAACTGGTTCATTCTATGCCAGATCGATTGAGAGCTGTTATAAAAAGCAAAGGAAAAGCAACTCGTTATTGAAATTTGATTTTCTGATACCTTTCTTGACACTTTTTTGGTTTTTCTAAAAGATTTTTATATTGTACGAAGACTTTAGTAACATTTTAAACAAGACCTTTTTCTTGTATCTAGGTTTTTTAAAAGGATTTTCTGAAAATATATTATTTTTCTTTTCATGTTGCATTAATTTTGATCTATAAAATAAATTTTGTACATAATTTCACCAAAATAACTTGAAAAAATGTATGAAAAACAACTACATTTATTGAAGGATTCACTGTACGAACACTTTTGTAACCCTCTGTGTGTATATATATATATATATATATATATATATATATATATATATATATATATATATATATATATATATATATATATATATATATATATATATATGTATATATATATATACATAGATATATATATATATATGTATATATATATATATATATATATATATATATATATATATATATATATATATGTGTGTACATTGTGTATACATATATATATATATATATATATATATATATATATATATATATATATATATATATATATATATATATATATATATATATATATATATATATATATATATATATGTAGGCATATAGATTTGTGTTATTTTAATTTCTTTTTTATTTAAGATGCCACGAAATTATAATAGAAAAACTGAAATAAAATATAGGCTAGACGATTTAAAAAAGGCCATAAAAGACGTTAGAAATAAAACTTTTTTATTAAGTCTAGCCTCTTCGGTGCCTAAAACCACCTTATATGACTACTGCAAGAAAGAATTCATAACACAACCAAAAAGCGGAAGAAAATGTATATTCTCAGGTGCACAAGAAAAAGAGTTAAATGAGTATATTGTCAATTGTAGCCAGATTTTTTATGGGTTAACAATTGAAATGGTGCGAAAAATTGCTTTCAAATTTACTGAACAAAATAAGCTGAAGCGTGTAATGTAATATTTAAATTTAATAGGACAACCCAATTGGCAGGGAAAGACTTGTATTATTCTTTCATAAAGACATTCAAGAAATTTCATTGAGGAAACCTAAGCCCACTTCGTTATACAGAATAAATGGGTTTAATGCAACAGAAGTAAAAATTTTTTTTGAAAATCTGGAAACTTTACAAAGAACTTATCACGTTGACCCTAATCATATATATAATGTTGATGAGACCAGTATTTCTAATGTTCGACGAAATTTTAAAATTTTAGCCCCAAAGGGCCAGAAACAAGTTGGTATGGCAACCAGTGGGGAAAGGGGTTCAACAACTACAGTTGTTTGTGCATTCAGTGCTTCAGGAAAGTATGTTCCTCCATTTTTTGTATTTAAAAGAAAACGCATAAATAATCAGTTGTTACGAGGAGGCAATGCTGATATGCTTGTCATGGTCAGTGACTCAGGTTGGATCAATGAAAATTTATTTGTGGACTGGCTTAATCACTTTATCTCATTTGCTAAACCAACCAAATACAAACCTGTGTTATTAGTCCTAGATAACCATGAGAGCCATGTTAGCCTTGATTGCTTTCTACTCTGTCGTGGAAATGGAATTGTATTGTTATCCCTTTCACCACACACTTCCCATAGAATACAACCATTAGATTTAACATACTTTGGTCCACTTAAGTCTGTATACAACAGGGAATGTGACATTTTTATGGTAGCAAACATAGACAAACAAACATAGGAAATTGTTGAACTATTTACAAAAGCTTTTAATTGTCTCAGCAACATTGAAAAAGCAGCCAATGGATTTCGACCAGCTGGCATTTATCCGTTAGATCCCACAAAAGTCAATGATTTATTTCCAATCACTATCATTACACCTGAAACGCCATTACTTGATAACATTCAGAGTTTAAAATTCCCAATTTAAACACAATGAATCAATCAGATACTCAAGCTAAATCATCAGAAGTGTTAGTTAATCTGTCATTGAATCCTTCTAGTGTAGGTCTGTCACCTGATGTGAATGTAGCCCCTGAACTGGTCTCAATTAGATCAAATCAGCCAATATCTCTTTTAAATATTGTTTCTGTACCTAATTTAACAAAAAGGAAAACCAGAGAAAGTCTAAGAAAGAAACATTCGGCTACAATCACTAGTTCTCCAATGAAAGATTTTTTAAAGGACAAGCAGCAAAAGAAAAGTATAAAGGATCAAAAAGTAAAAATGGCTGCTGGTAAAAAAAGGAAGAGAGGGAGCAACTTTACCAAGTTTGAGGCTAATAATGTACCAAAGAAGAAGAAAATAACCAGAGACGATAAAGAAAATGATTACCATTGTTTAATTTGTGAAGAGAAGTATCATGATCCAGCCACTGAAGACTGGGTTATGTGTTACATATGTAAATCTTGGTCCCACGAAAAATGCACAAGTTCCTCAAGCACATCCAGAGGTTTTCTCTGTAATTTTTGCGCGTAATTAATAGGAGTAACATTTTATTTTCTTTGAATAACATTTATTAATATTTGACATTTTATTTGCTTTGAATAAGATTTATTGATGTTTGATTCTTTGGCGTTGATTTGTTTAAAATCTGATTCATTTATATTTCAGCGCTTCAATTAAATTTGATTACCTTTGAGAAAATTTGAGTTTATATATATATATATATATATATATATATATATATATATATATATATATATATATATATATATATATATATATATATATATATATATATATATATATACATATATAATCACATATACTATGTATATATATATATATATATATCTGTATATATATATATATATATATATATATATATATATATATATATATATATATATATATATATATATATATATATATATATATATATATATATATATATATATATATATATATATTACATTTCATATTTAATATATATATGTATATATATATATTAAATATGGAATGGTGGCATCAATGGAGTTAAAAAATACCACCAAAAATCATTCGAGACTATTACATTAAGTGGAAAACAGCGCTAAAAGGGAAACCAGTGCGAGATTGATTCAAGTTTAGAAAAATTGATAAGAAATGCCAGGCAGCGTGAATTTTTAAAGTGCATTTTAGATGTAACTCTCTTCATAGCATCACGCTTTAGAGTTATATTAGTGAATGTTAATTATTATATTTATATTTATGTCATAATTTATTTTTATTATAATTAAACAGAAATGGTTTATATGTGTAAACATGTATTATTACATGTATGTATTAAAATCGTCGTTTTAGACTCTTCAAAAATGATCAATGACAATAACGGAAATTTTCTTGAAACTCTAGAGCTACTCGCAAAGCACAACAAGACCCTTTAGTTACATCAGAAAGAGGTTTCCTGGTGTCAACATGAAGCTAAACAAATTATTGTGCATTTTTTGGGTTGGAGTTCCCAAAATGAACTTATAAAAAAGTGCGAAAGAATCGTCCACGGTGCCATCATTGAAGATGCGCATATAGCAATTTACTATTTTATTCTTGTCGATGGAACGCCTGACATCTCTTATACTTAACAAATTGTATTTGTTTTCCGCTTTGTCTACAATGGTATTGATAAAAGACAGTTAGTAAGGAGCGCTTCTTTAAGATCGAAAATCTTAAAAAGAAAGTTGTGAATATTGCCAAGATAATTATGGATTTGAGGGTCAAAATGACATCAATCTGAAGAACTGTGGAGGTCAAGGGTACAACAACGGTGTCAACATAATTGGTGTGTACAAAGGAGTAAAAGCGATCATCCTTCAGAAAAATCCTGAAGCTTTCTACATGCTATGCAGCGCTCATAATCTTAACCTAGCTGGTGTTTATTCCCTTGAATCTTCTGTAGAAATGAAGAACTATTTTGGCCGGATCCAGTCACTCATATTTTTAGTGGAAGCCCTATACAATGTCAAATCTTGACCAAGACAACTGGTTTGTCTCTTCATTAAATCTCACAAACCCGAAGTTTTTCTACAAAAACGATGAAAAGCAGTTTGAGGTGAACGTATTTAACACTGTACCCGTTTTTCAAAACGCCTTTAGATGCTTTTTACGTATTTTTCGAGAAAAACGTATTTAAAAATAATAATACATGAAAGTTTTTGTAAAACGTTTTTTGAAAATTATAATTTGTATGAACTTTTTCAAAATTCTTTAAAAAACAATTATTCAATAACCTTTGCAGGCACCTCTAAATAAGCTTATTTTCTAAAACAGTCAATTTTGATTTTTTTTACTTTAAGGCGTTTTGAAAAACGGCTGAAGAATACCGCTCTCAATACTTTAATCCAACAAATAAGAGACAGATTTCGAGCTGTACAAAATGCCTCTTGATTCGAAGATTCAAAATGCCTATTGAATCTTCGAATCAATAGGCATTTTGTTATATATTTTTAACACAATTCTCGTTTCCATTGCCGATAGAGAGATCTTTCAGTAAGCTTGGTCTAGACAATATTAAGATCTGCAATAAGTCAAGACCGGCTTACCAATATCTTAGTTATATCTATTGAATATGATCTTGCAAAAAATCTGTGCTACAACGAAGTCATTCCAAATTTTGCTTTAAATTATGCCCGTAGGCTCAAATTCTCATGAAGCAATTAAAATATCTATTACATTTAAAACTCATAGTTACTCGCCATGTAATAAAGTTCAGTAACTTGTCAACTCGCACTTCTTTTTTACTTTTATTTTAAATTTATTTTAAAAATAAATAGAAGCCTCCTTGACTGTATTTACTCCCTCGGCTTTTAAAAGTGAGTTTAGTTAAAAAAAAAAAAAAAAAAAAGTATTTGGACAGTACCTTAACTTTTTTGAATTAGATCAATATGACAGGGCGCTAGATAAGTTTTGACCCCGGGCGTCATAAAGGGTTGCGGCGAGCCTGTATATATATATATATATATACATATATATATATATATATATATATATATATATATATATATATATATATATATATATATATATATATATATATATATATATATATGCATAATAACTATAGTTTTTTAACTAAAAGTGAAAAGGTGCATTTTTACATGTTTTTTAATAACAATTTTTTTCGGCAATATGAATTTTATAAAACGATTATTATATATATATATATATATATATATATATATATATATATATATATATATATATATATAAATATATATAATATATGTATATATATATATATATATATATATATATATATATATATATATATATATATATATATATATATATATATGTATATATATATATATATATATATATATATATATATATATATATATATATATATATATATATATATATATATATTACATAAATATATATATATATATATACATATATATATATATATATATATATATATATATATATATAAAATATATATATGTATATATATATATATATAAATATATATATGTATATATATAAATATATATATATATATGTATTCATATATATATATATATATATATATATATATATATATATATATATATATATTTATATATTTATATATATATATATATATATATATATATATATATATATATATATATATATATATATATATATATATATATATATATATATATATATATATACATAAATATATTTATATATATATATACATATATATATATATATATATATATATATAACTATATATATATGTATATATATAATTAATATATATATATATAATATAAATATATATATATATATATAATATATATAAATAATATATATAATATATATAAATAAAATAATATATATAAAAATATATATATATATAATATAAATATATGTATATATATATATATATATATATATATATATATATATATATTTATATATTTATATATATATATATATATATATATATATATATATATATATATATATATATATATATATATATATATATATATATATATATATATATATATATATATATATATATATATATATATATATATATATATATATATATATATATATATATATATATATATATATATATATAATAATAATCGTTTTATAAAATTCATATTGCCGAAAAAAATTGTTATTAAAAAACATGTAAAAATGCACCTTTTCACTTTTAGTTAAAAAACTATAGTTATTATGCAATAAAATCTAAATTAATAATTTTTATATGAAAAATTTATTATTTTTGAAATTTTTGTAAAATTTCGCTTTATTTGAGTACCTGCATTACATAATTTTGAAAAACTTTTTTTTAAATAATAATAGGGCCTGCTAATTTTTGTAATTATAGTTGCGGGTGGAAGACATTGTTCAATCCATAAAAGTAAATACTTTCCTAAATTAGTACATAGAAAAACAACTTTCTAGACCATAGCCAGGTTAGCAAATTTTTATGACCCACCCTAATATATATGTATATATAGACAAGTTGCGTGATGACGCGTTTTGTTTTTCGTACCCAGTCCCACGCGGTTTCGGCAGTATAGAAAATGAGCATAAATAAACATGTTTCATTCTACTAATATAATTTAGATATAATTTTATTATATACTATTTAGTTGTACAATAATATATTTTTTTCATGCATTTGTTTATTATACTATAATTTATATATATATATATATATATATATATATATATATATATATATATATATATATATATATACATATATAATCACATATACTATGTATTTATTTAACATATATATATATA